TCTCCGATCCTCAGGTCACAAAAATTGAAAAGTGTAAATTTCAAAACAAATGACATTTTATTTGTTCATACTATTGATTTGAATAATAAATAAAACATTTATTTGTATTGTTTCCATGTGTTTTTCAAAGATAATACGTTATCACCCATATAGGTTTATATAAGGAAAAAGAGATGTCTTCAAGGTTTTGGCAATTTATATTCAGTATAGGATGGTTACACTGTATTTGTGCACATAAAAACATTTATTAGGTATGTTGATATAAAATAAATTACTAAAAACCAGGTGTATCCAGCATAATAACCATGGAAATGAAACACCACATCTTTACATCCACATCAAATGTAAGAGTTATGTTTCTTTCAAGAACTGAACAACAGATGTAATAATGTTTTTTCGTTTTGTCACTCTGGGTTTCCCATTGAAATTTTCACTGAGTACACTGTGTACACCATCAAACCCTCCTCTGTTGTATGCCAACTGAATATGATGCAGAGACAGTCCAGAGAGCGACATCTTTTTCACCATGCTCTCTGACACTACTTTGTTCCTTATCAAGGGCATCAAAGTTTGCAGATTAGATTTAGAAACTTCCATCTGGTTGACAACTTGCATGATATAATCCATGCTGAAAGAATAGTTCAAGTAATATGATTCTGTGTTGTGGTACTCAACAAGTTTCTGCAGATATGCACAATCTTCTAAAGCATCATGTGCATCAAATGTACAGCCTAGTATTTCAAGCACAAGGGTCTCCAGAGTTGAATTGGATGGATTACAAGATGTGTGTTCTTTCAACATAGGAAGAGTATCAACATAAAATCCAATAATGCAGTCTTGTAGTGGTATATTGGAACACTTTCTCATAGCTCTGCATAAAACGACACTGTCAAATTTTCTGCAGTTGTGAGCAAATAACACAGGTTTACGTATCCCTGGTGTATTATTTAGCCACTCACGAAATGATGTCAAACACTCCTGTATGGAACATGCTTGCACGGGAACACCATTCTTGTATAAAGTAGAACCATCACAGGTAAGTCCTGTTATCCTTGAGGCTGTCTCCTGTATGGCAACTGATGGTAGCACATACTGACAAAAAGAGAAATCAGCACACCTTGCAGCCATTAGTGTTATTTCACATGATGCATCTTAAAGAAATGAAAAAGTATAAGATATGAGTTTATAAGAAAATTACACAATATTTTTGTGATATATATTTATAAGGATAAATAACAATTTTACCCACATACCTAAACCAGTTGTCTCTAGATCAAAGTAGACTCTACTGTATTCACCCGGAGGCAGTGGAACTTGGTGGAGCTGTTCTGGAGGGGATGGAATAGTCTCCATTCTTTCATCAGGAATACTACTGCTTTGAGAAAGTACACCACTCTCATAAGTTATACCCTCCCTTGTTTCAGATGATGATATTGCAGATGCCGACTTCTTCTTCAGTTCAACTCTTCTTTTTTTGAACTCTTTTGAAGATATTATTTTTACATGTATTTTCATTCACTGGTGAGAAAGATAATAAATGATACAACTTTTCTATATGAAGTTACCTGAAGTACATATGGAGCTCCAATATTTTTCTCACAGACTGCTGCTGCAACTCTCACACTTGTACTTTCCGATCCTGAATAAAAATTATTCTTGGGGTTTTTCCTGGATACAACGTGGTTGAAATTTTCATTATGTTGCGTGCTTTCAAGTAAAGAAAGTCTCTCTGACTGATTAGCATATGATGTAAAAAGTTGCTGAAGGTCTTCAAACAGATTCGTGTCGGTGAGATATTTTCCATAGGGAAGATGCTTCGGTGTGTACGTTTCCTTATTTTGTAGATATCTGCACCATTTCACTTGGCATGATGAATGTTTACCATATAGGTGGTTTGGAATGGCTAGTAGGTTTTCTTTCAATGATATGGGTTCTTCTCTGTTAGAGGACACAGCATACGCAAAGCACTTTTTTATGTGACTTATAGTTTTGACACTCAGTATCCTCTTATATTTTTCTTTCTGCAAGGCATACAGATTATTTGCAAAGTTTTTGAACGTATGGTTCTTATCACTACATTTCTGCATGTCAGCATTTACCTCCAATCTTACTTTATGAATGGTACTAGTGTCGTCATCCATAACTAAAGTTTTCACTTTGTGCCCCTTGTTTTCAATACTTTTTAGGATCTTTACAGCCATGGATGGTTCCATTGATTTTGAGCTTCCCTCCCAATTCTTTCTACAATCATGTTCTTTCTTCTCCCGTCCTCGGAGCTCAGCACTTTTACATACTCTGCAACTCTTTGCCATCACATCATAGCCTACCACCTTTCCAGTTTTACATCCAATCATTGATCCATGACCTGATAAATGGTTGATAAGAGAAAAAAAACTCATTTATTCATTTATACATGTGTGTGTCTTCTTTTTTACTTTTATATCCATAATAATTGAATGTTCATGTGTATTTCTTGATATTGAAATTACTTTATTACATTTTCAACAGTGAAATTCTTTTAGTTATCCAGGTTCAATCAAGGGTGTACAGGGATTGACCCCAGATTTTATTCCTTACCCTCTGAGGCCTGAGGCCAAAGGGTGTATGGAATACAACCTGGGGTCAATCCCTGTACACCCTTGATTGAATCTGGATAGCTATTTGTTTTTTATGTACCCATACAATTCTTTGTAAACATCAAAGTCTATTCAACTATGTCTCAACCTTGTATGTTTTCAATACTATGTTACTTAGCTAATCAACTATGACAATATGTTTACTATGACACTATGAAACTACAAAAAGATATGGGCAAATGGAAAATGAAAGAAAATGTAATAAAAAGAAAAATCAATGTTTTGTAGTTGGATATGGCATTTATTTCAGTTGTGAGACCTGATTTTTTTTCTCATACTTTCAATCATGTTTTACACTCAAGAAAATATGAAAAAAAAGTGTCCCACTCATGAAATAAATTCAATATGCAACCACAAAAGATTGAATACCCTCTATTCATTTCATTAGCATACAATGACATTTTGGGGTTTCAAAACTCTTCTTTCATATTCATAAATACATATGTATTTATACAATATAAAATTCATTCATAATTTTATAAAAAAAATCACATATCATAAAATACCTGATAAACTATTATAATTTCTTCCACTTCCTCTCTTTTGCCAACCAGCGTCGTAAGACAGTATCAAACCACTATCACTAGAATGAATTGAAATATTTAGAAATATATGAAGTATGAAAATCACACGTATACTTATGAAAAAAAATCAATAGGTGTGCAAAATTTCTTTAGAAAATAACTGAAATATGTTACTTATAATGTGATCAATATAAACATTATACCAAATACAAGTACATATATTTATAAAATGACAATGCTATATGATTTTATGAGATGTTATGATGAATACTATGGAAGTAATTTTCACAATGAAAATATTTACCCTGATCTATGTGCCTCATTCTCCAATGCATCATTGCATGTCATTTTAGCAAGTGACTCAAATACAGGGGCACATTCTCTCTCTCTCTCTTTCAAATTGCTATGACTAAGGCAATGGATGTTGAGAGTTGAAAAGAGCTTTGTCACAACAGCCTCCCCAACTCCAGCATGGGTCAAAGCTACAATAAATTTTATATTTATAAAACCTTCATAACTTGTCACCATTATCATTGCTATGATTATTATTATGAACCAAATAATTATTTCTTTATCAAAAGTTTAGAGGATCATTAGGCTGCTTATCTGTGTCATATAAAAAGAAGAATCATTGGAATTATTTTCAGAAATACACATACATTGTATGTTCTTATTTTTCATATATTCAAAATAGAAAAAAAATACAACCAACCAAATAAATACATACCAACCCCAAGCTTTTGTATTCACATCAAATGGACCTTGGCCATTTGGACCAATGTTGTGTCGCTTCCCGGTTGGCACAATTGTCAACTCCTTGCAATTGTACACTTATGTTAAAAGACTCG